GAATAACGCTATGCCACAATTAAATTAGTGCATGGTTTTGATGTTTTTCTACATTGTAAGATCATAACGAAATGATTGCATATTATGTATAATATTTTACATAATTAAATCAAATCATATTAAAAAAAAAAGCATTATCAACATCTTTAACATTTCTCATTTCTCCAAAACATATGTAGCTAATTTAAAAATAAATATATTTCGAGAATTTGATCTTTTTTTTTCAGATGTACACGTAGATATTATTTTTTAAACCACTAAAAACACATCGACTCTCCGGAAAGGATTAATAGACAGGTTTATTCTATAATACTTGACCAGTTTTAGTGTTATTTAAGGAACACTTCTGTCATGCATTTTAGCACGTAGTATTAATTTTAATTTTACTGTGTGTAATACTGCATTATCGTAATGTTATCATACATGATTGTATTCAATATTTATTTAATTGCCTTTAATGAGTTCCAAAGTTTTTCTGTTGAAAAAATGTTATAATTTTGAGAGAGACATTGAAAGTTCTGTTGTAATACATTTCGAATTCTCGTATCAAATTTTTCCCACATATTACGGACACACTGTACAGTACATACTTAGATTTTAACACTTTTTAACACTCTTGTAGTGTAAATAAAAGTTTATAAAGAGTAAAGAAAATCAAATTACTTATTTCCTAGATATAGAATGATATATGTTGAGAAAAGTTATTTTAGCCAAACTGTTATCAATCATATTTTTTCACTTAAAGCAACACTACGTGGTAAATGTTGATTATGCAAGTTATACTGAGTTTTGGAGACAGGTTCCTCTATCAATACTAAGAAAAATTATCCGTGTTTTTAGATAATATTTTATCTTGTCGCCTTCTTGAGTTTTTAAAAAAGGTATAAATTCAGAAAAGACCCTAAACTTTATCGTGCAAAATATTGTCTAAACAACAGACGCTTGAATAAATAACAGAAAGAATCTGAAAACTGATACAGTATTTAAAGGCATAGCCGTTTTTTCCCTCTGTAGCTATTTTAATTCGTTTTAACGCAGTCGTTTTAACATCGAAACTGTTTCAAACAATTACACCACATTTTTGTCCATTACAATTTGAGCTATCTATACGTCAGCGTTTCAAAACCGAGCGTTTCAAATTTAGCACTGTGTATTTTTATGACGTTAGCAATATGAGTTATAAAAATTTACGCAATCTCTGTATAGGTAAGTATTATAAAATTACTCATGTGATTGACGTAATACCAAAAATAAGCTACTGCATTTAAAGGATAAGTTTTATTCCTAAATTGGAAAAATTCCATACAAATGTATCACTTCCAGTTGTAGTGCCATTTTTACAAATATTTGGGTATATGTACCTACTATAAATCTAAGAAATATTTTTCCAGTGTATCTTAGAGAGAATCAAATTAGTATTTTTGTACACCACACAGCGAGTCAATAGTAATCGATCCTGAGTTTGAGGCGGAACGGAAACGGATGCGTAACGGATGTGGTCAAAGCGACAGGTGTCCACACAGTCACCTATTTTGTATAACTACTTGTTTGCCAACAAAAATTCTTTTTTAATTTTCGTCATCTAGCCCAGTGCAAGATTAAACAAGTTCATCCGAAAATATACTTTTGATAAGCATGCTTATTTAAGTGTTGTGAAGTACCACATGATTCAAAAATTTATTTTGTTGTGATAACAACATGTTCGATAGTTTTATGATGATATCATATACAATTTTTACCTACGCATACGAAAGCACTCGTGGAGACAGATAGTCTGAAAAAAAATTTGACAAAAAAACAAAGTTATCTATCTATAAAGTATTGCCATTAATAGATAAATGAGGCGACTGCGGTCATTACTAAATTCGCCCCGAGATTTTCGCATTAGCAAGTACTGCAGGAAAAAATTTAAATAATTTATGCGGAGACCGCATTTTGAAGTATAAAGTATGTATTTCCATTAATGAGCGATTGGCATACGATATACGCAAAGCCATTGAGCGGCTTAATAGAATGTTATTAAACGTTCGGAGTCACGCAGTCTGATACTTCAAGGAAAATTATGGAACGATTTTTGTTGCATTATGCCGTCATTTTATGTTGTCTATTCGCCGAAACGAATTACACAACAACGTAAATAGCTCATTTGACATGCAAATTAATTTTTAAACCTATAATTAAGTCACTTTGCTTTTTGTAAAACTAATAATTAATTGATATCGTTATCATCAAGGACTGTAAAACACACCTCGACGTGTAATTGACCTGGTGTGTGTCATTAAGACATTACTCTTTGTTTCCAAAATTGGTGTGCTTTTAGTTGAAAGTTATGGTTAAATACCTAGCATTGGTTTACATGAGGGCAGTTCATGCATAAATGTTTTAGATGAGAACTTACTAACGTAAGGTAGTTAATCATATTATTTGTAATGTAAATTAAACAACATTCTGAAAGCTTCGAATCAACGATGCTGAAAATGTGCGACTTTAATTATTATCTAACTTTTTTAATAGCTAATTATTTAACACCCCACATATAAACAATAAATTATTTCAACTGTGACAGAAAATCCATTAATGAACCAGTCTTTCATAATGGTGTCAACAGATTAGTTTTATTGCATACATTCCGTCATTATCGTATTAGTTTCAAAGTTTTTCAAACTTAACTTAGTTATCCAAACACATAGTTCCTAATTCTAGACGTTTATGTTTGTGTACGTTAAGAAGAGATAATTTAAGTGAATTAAGCTGAAACATGGTTTTCCCTATCTATTGTGTAGCACTTTTTTCTAAATTCTGAAGAATTATTTACTTGCCTTCCAGGGAGCATAAAAAAGGAAATTTGGAAAGCGTCCAACAGCTAACTGTTTTGCTAAAGAAGCACAATTTGGTCAACAGCATTATTTTATTAAGACCATATTCTTGACAGGCGAGTAATCATTCATAATGTGGACATATTCATCCCAACTGAGGTAATTAGTTTGAAACAATGATTGTAAATTAATTAACATAAGAAAAGTTGTCGTTTTCTTGCCAACTAGAAGATTAGGAAGACCAATGGTTTGATAATGGCCCGTTTTTCGTACCTTTTAAAAAACTGTTTTAAACATAGTGAGAAAATTTATGTAGGTTCATAAAATAAAATTAGCTTTTGCATAGAAGTAGTTTGTTCATAAGTTGCACGCAAAATTACAATTTCATAAGTGCTTCCTGTCCAATATTAAGTTCTTCAAATGTTTGTTTGTAGTTTTATTTAGAAAAACAAATAAATATTTTTTTCAAATGAAGTAGCATATTCAGATTTATTTTATTTTATTTATTTATTGTTGTTTATATTATTTTTATCTTAATAGTTTGTGCGTAATTGTTTAGATATAATCAAAATAATGACAATTAAAAAAAATAAAAAGGCAAAATTAATATTAGCTTTTTACTGAACTGTATCTTAAACTCTGCCGAAACGAAAATCATTGCAGTTCTACGAACTTCCAAAAAACACAGTCATCAAGGAAATACTGCCCCTAGGGACGGAACTACTTTTCACCGGTTTTACAAAACATATTTTCATTTCACATATTTCATCACGAAATAAAAAAAATTTTGTTTCCTTATATGTACCTCCTTTTAAAAAAAAAACTTGTCTACTTATTGCTTTACTACAAGTAAAGTACGAGTATTTTTGGTGCAACTTACCAACTTTTCTCATAATGTACAAAGTACACCTGAAGTAAGAAAATACACAAAATACACGTTTAATATATGTATACATTTTCCTAAAAATCCTAAAATTATTTACTCAGCACTTATTTCTTTTTACGTAATGTAAATGGTACAAAACAGTTTAATCTTAAGCAAGAATTCTTAAGATAATGAATCATTTTTTTCTCAAAAACTTTCCCAAACAACCCACTACTTTCGAAGAGAATTCCCAACACCAAGACGTAAGTGGCAAGTTGACCTTGTTGGTGCGCCGTGACATGCCGTCGAATGCGCCCCTTGCGAATGCATTAATGCACAGTAGTTGGACCTGGAACTATAGGCGTTTTTGTTCTGTCCAAAAGTATAGCATAGCATACACCTACTATTTAGTTTTGCTTAATTTTCTATTTGATAAGGAACTTTCGTGGATGTTATTAATATAAATGACACCTTAATGTACAGATAACAATTATCTCGTATACCGAAAGTAAAGTGTTACGCTAACTGAAATATTAAAGTTATAATTAAAAGACAATAACATCAGCTGCAAACATGCAAGTAGTAAATATCTTGAATAATTAAAGAGAATAAAAAATATAAACTCAACTTAGTTTTCAGACATGTAATTATCTACTTCTCTTTTATTGGGAAAATCATATACCGTCTGCGAATTCCAACGACTCAGGTATTTATTTAATATTGAAGCGATAAAATATTGAACAACCTTTTTTCTAAATCTGTGAGTCAATTTCTCTTAATTATTAACAATTCAGGTGCGCAAATACCGTAGATTGACATGGTATGGTCGTCGTCAAATACGTACGGATCTTGCAAACTCAAGGCTAATGGGAACTGCTAGTTTATTAATAATCACTATATTATTCATAGAGATAAAACAGCTCCTTTAATTAAAAGCAAGTTTTTACAAAATATTTTGCTATGTACCAACACTTTTCTTTTTATCTATAATATGTACGTCGTAATTAATTATTCCGAAAATGTGTTGAAACACACATTACAAATTTCACATCGTACATACGAACTTGTGATAAACTGGTTAGAACTGCAACTATACTGAATTTTACTTTTTAATCAGTGTGTACTGTTTGTTTTGATTGCGGACTGTCGGAATGAGTATATTTTTCTTACTTGAAAACTTGAGTACGAGTTTGCCTGAAAGCTGGATGGTGCTGCCACCATAGCGGTGACTACGGCAAAAACCTTAACTAAAATTTTATGTTTGGTGGGGGAAAAGATTTACTCGAAATCAAGTTTGAAGCTCGGTCAGTGCCAGTAGAACGGTCGTTGGCGTGAGATGATAAATATAGTTAATCCTAATTAACGTAATCGAGTTTTCGATTTTTACGCACCTACAACCCGCGTAATAAGTCCTTTGGATATCATTTTTCCGGTCGTTTTAACTCCAGTTTTGACGGATTAAAAAATTACGGGGACTTGATAGAAGAAAATCCGAATAAAGTAAACAAAATAAAAATAAAATAAAGTGTGCGAAACCTTCATAATTAATTTAAAAATATAAAAAGGACTCGTATTGTGTTCATCAGCTGGGTAGCGCCAATAAAACGCATGCTCCTCCCCACTACGAGGTGCAAGTGGGGGTAAACAGCTGAGAATCGGATACAGACTGAAAACATCAAGTTCAGGTTGTCAGTTGCGTTGTGGTCGTGATAAGCGTAGGTTACAAATATGCTAAGTTTAGTCGAGTGTGGATGCACTTGAGAACTTAGACAGATTTTATGCAAACAGTTCAGAATTGATTGACTGTTCCGCCCTTAAGTGTAAAGTGAATGTGTACTTAGTTTCTCATTTTTTTGGATATGGTGCCCCAACAAAACATGGATTCATCCAGGTCAGAAACACCGATTAGTGCTGCTATACCCAAATTCGGCTCGCAACTAATTGACAAAAATTCAGCGACACCCTACTCTGATGCCACTCAGGTAGGTCGAAGAAAATTTTTTTCGGAAGACGTATTTATTTATAATATGTATGGACTTACGCTATCGGAATTTACTCTCCGTTCGAACTTATCGTGGTTATTGCAAAATATAAATTATTTTGCATTATTGTGATAACAGAAATATGCGCAGAGGATTAACAATTTTGCGGTCGCAGGAAGCCATGACCGAGTGTCATTAACTCATAGGTGACAATTATCGAAAACATGGATGACCTTGTAAAACTTTGCACTCTTCACCTCTCAGGTTTAACAGACTCGAGGAAACCTTAGAGCATTAACAAATCAGATACAGTTCGCGACTACTACAGCTGTATAATTCGAGCCTCCAAAATGATCTTCAGAAAGTTTCAGCTGAAAATAGTTTCAGAATTTCAGCGACGCACTGAAGAGGCTTTCATGTTTTCTAAATGAGTCGGAGCAAAACACTATTTAATAAACGTTGAGACATTTCCGACGACTTGCTCGGGTCGCATTTAAATTTACTCTCTTGTCGTACACGAAGGTTGCCAATTTTTCGCACGTGTGCATTTTCCAGACAACGAACGAAGCGATGTCTGTTTCCTCTTTCAAATGTAAAATTTCCAGTCGACGGATGTGCTTATCCAGTGCATATACATACACGGAACACGGCGAGTCTAAAAACGGGAATCGAAATTGAAGAAAATCGGAAAATGGCAAAAGGGAATTTGTAGGAGACGAGGTTGTTTTAAAAAAGACAGAAAAAGGATGTCCGCGTGTAACTTACGGACGTGTTCGAGCTAGAATTCAAGTTGCAACCAGTTGTTTCGACATATGATCAGCTGCTGAGGTGTTTGGCTTTTTCAAGGTCTCTGACTCATGTCGCTGTGTAGCAGATAGATACCAGTGCACGATATATAAAAAATTATAATTGGTAACCTTTACGACTGCGGAAATAATAGCTTAACCTTGAATCTTCGAACAACATTCGTTTGATTAAATTATGGTTTTCTGGTAAGGAATCCCTGATCTCACTTCACCGCTTTCGGAACGCGACCGTTGTTACAACTACATGTAACTAAAGCCTCTTTTTCTATAAAATAGAAATGGTTAATAGACTAATAATGCACAAACCAGTTATCGGCGACTTTATCTATGGAACGCATCAGTAAAATAGAATGTGTGGGTGGAATGATAATTGTTTTAATCAAAATCCTGTTTACTTCGTAATAAATATAGATCCGGAGCGTTGACAACAATCTTTTCGCTTTCGATGCAGTTACCGTAGAAGTGTTGAAATTGTGTGCAAAGCGCTAGTTAGTTAGGTAGATAATCGTGTGACGAAGGTGCGGTGTATTAATTTTTAAGTTGCAATATAGGAAAAGTGACGGAACAAAATTTACGGCCCAAGTTGTAGGGAAAGTTCGTGCTGCAGCAACTTGCGAATTATGCAACGAAACGCGCTATCGGGCTCTGCGAAGCAAAACGAACTAAATAAAATATTAGCCTCGTTTTATTCCAATGAATTACAAATTATCAACACGAAATTAAATGAGCGGTCCGGCGAAAAACAAATCATTAAACCATTTTTTATGGATGGCTCGATCCTGATCATTTATTTATTCGCGTCTCGCCGACAAAAACTTCTTTCCTAATTACAAGTATTCAAATTAGTCAATTTCGTATAATTAGTCCTAACTTTAGTATTATTAGATGTGTAGGTCTTGTAATTTTCGTCGATTAAAAACGAGTTTCGGACTATACACACAAGCTAAATTACTTTCCATAAAGAAAAGTCCAAATCTGATGTGCGCTGGCCAGAGTTTCGTAAATATTTGTCGTGATCAGGAATAAATAGTAAATCACGCAAGTTTTGTGGCCGGGAGGTGCGCGATAAAAAACGTAGTTTTTTACGGCGATCCAGTAGTCCATGAACCGCATGACCTGCTGCGATCTACCTCATATCTCTGTTAGTTGTTTAGTCGTGCTGTTGTTTCTCCAGGCACCTTGATTTATTCTGAAAACCAGTTCTTGCAGCACGATGCTCTCTTAAGTGTGGTTATTAGATATTTTATATTCCGTGTTTTATTGCAGCGACGATTATGATCCTCTCATGATAAATGAGGAGACTAGCTGTGAGATAATTGCCAAGGTTTTGTATACAATTTTCAATTACTCATCTATTATTTTCACTAGACTTATCGGTACCGTTAGCGCGTCTACGTTTTCCTACGAGGCTCCCTTTCACGACTTCACCCATCCACAAAAAGATGATCGATCTTGATGGATCGAGCTTACAATCATTAGTTTTGGTCTGAAAATAGCGATCGCCTCTTCCATTAAAAACTTTCATCGTCGCTGTCAAGTCGGAATTAAATCGCATCTCGCATTGAAAACAAGATTCAGTTGTATCTAAAAAAAAATTAGGAAACCGATGAAAAACGTCCGCCATAATCACGATCTGTTTGTTTCTAACCACGCCTGTGTGTGACGATGCTTGCTATTCAAGGTTTCTCATAATTTAGTGTATCGTTCGCATTGGAAAAATCTAATCACTTTAGTGCGTACAAGTGTAAAAATTACACGTTTCCGGCCCGGAAGCGATATCGGGTGGTATCGTCACCAGAAGGTCAACCTAACATGGTGGAGTCCTTGTTGTGTTTACATTTTGGTAACCCGCTGATGAATCAGGAAGCAGAACGACCTCAAGAAAAATGACGCTGTTATCTATCAGCGCCTCCGACGAAACACGGAAAATCGCATGTTCGAACACATATTAGAATTGTAAATATAAGGATGCGACAGTGAATATATCTAAGCAGGAATTGCGAAATTTTTCGTTATCGATCTATTTACGCGATGCGTTTTTCATTCAACCACCACACAATAACCGACCAATCTGCATTTCGTATTTCGGGACACTAATCTACTAATTCTAAGTACATACAAATAAACGCACTATTCAAAAGTGATGGATTTTACGAAACGTAGTTAAACATAAACTTGACTGTTCTGCAATTAACCACATTACGTCTGCACCTGAACGCATAACTTTTGCATGTAATGTTGCATCGCTAAAACGTTCTTACTGTGACAGGAAATTAAAAGAAATTTCTTGTTAGTTGTGCAACTAAACAAGTACTTGTACTGCGTTAGAATGAACAACAGAGTAAATCACTTTAGTGTTTGTTTCGTTAATTTTTAGGAATGTCGGTCCGTTAATATACGCAGTTATGGCCTAAACATCGTACGTCCAATCCGAAAATCGATACGCAATTTGGTATTAGATTAGTGTTGGCTTGTGGACGCTTTACCAGCTAATCATGCCCCCTAGTGGCCTCCTAGACAACGCATTACGGCCATTTTAATTATCCTAATGACCGGACTAGCAGCTTCCTATAAGCAGATTAAACTTAGACTGTGTTATCACTTATATTCTTATCTGAGGATGTCTCCAAATATGTGTTTACATTACAAGATTCAGCCTTGTATCTCCAATTAAATGTCAGCCGTTTTCAACTTGATGAGGGACCTAACGATACTACTCCAAACCTTACTTATTAATCATTATGACAATTCACATGGATCAGATTTTCCGCCAGTTTTAACATGAAGCAAATAAACGTGTATTGATCAGCTGAGTCGAATTACACAAAAACGAAAGAGAATTTCAGCGATACAAAAATAACAAATAGGTAGCACACCGATACGAATTTTCAAATTACAATAACTGTGAAAATACGTGATGAAGTATTAAAGACCTTTGAAACTGGTTGTTCGAAGTGAAAATTTGTGCAAAATTTATCTGCGCATTTGTTAGAAGTATGAATTGTTCTTTATTATTTGTCTTGCTACTTGTTACCAAGTATCTAATTATTATTTTAAAAATGTAAAGATTGTTAACCTGTCAAAAACTGCTAACTGGATTTTATGTGTTATTTAAGTTCATCATAATTGCACTCACAAACAGTTTGCTTCATTTTTGCTAATGTTGAATTATTTTATGAGCAATATACGCGAGGTTTATTATTTTGTTTAAAATGTGGCAGCTATTAAACATGTATGATTAATGTTTTTTTAAAACCATTACTTTGCTTTTGTCGAACCCAACGGAAATAAGAAGTAAACTGATATTCAAAGGATCGTTGGAAATTTTACCGCGGTAGCCGATAACGATGCAATCATATTAGTTTCAAAAATAAGAATATCAGCAGGCAATGATAAACAGGCGACATAAAAAAATATCTAGGCAAGTGTTCCTGTTTGTCTGAAATATATTAGGCTATTATGTTGTTAATGTGCCACTTAATTAAATATGAAACTATTATAAATAACATCATAAACTGTACACAAATCTACTCAACACTTTAAAAATGTTAACATAATGCAAACATTTGCATGGTATATTACATACGGGAAGAAGAATGGTTGTATTTGCGATCGATTACTGTACCACTCTCGTACATTAACGATGTCGCAACGAGAACTAATTAAGGCCTGTTGTAATTGTAAGTACCACTCATATTTTTAATTTTCGTCTGTTCATCGATGCGTTTCAAATCGGCATAATTATCAAACTGGGCCAAGGTGTAAAGTCGTAATGCTTTTCCATCATTGTCGGATCTGAATTAAAATATTTTGCAATTACTTTGTGGTAAAGGCGAGGGTAAATAAACACATTGTTGAAAATAACACAAATAGAAATATCGGTTGCAATATTTTTTCTATGACTGTTGGAAAAGGTGTAGCCAAGAAACGTGGTTAGTCATAATTATATCGTGCAACAACTTCGTGGAATCTGCCACTGAATTTTTTTTAAAACAAAAGTGTTCTTTCCAAATTAATATTTACGATCGCTTGTCGGGCAATTAAACACTTGAAAAAGAAATATGAGCACGAGCCTCGTGAAAAATCAAAATTATATATTCAATGAACGGTCGCAAAAACATGCAAACTCATCGAATCGTGCGTGAGTACCATACCAATGGGTTTGTGCGTGTCCGCCATGACAGAGGCGCCACACGTGACCCGAATATGTCATGCGAAAACTGTTCAGCTGTTTACGATATTTTGCGACCTTAAAGCTCCTATTTACCTAGAGAAAGCATTATAGGTCATCTTCCCTACAATATGTACAGTATGTTACTTCCCTGTTATTTCCTTGTGCAAGGTTTCTGCAACTAGGACACAGGAGGATTTATCCTTGGACTGCAAAATGTGAAACCCCATTGAGTTGTTATTCTGCGAAGCTTTCTCAAGCTTTTATTGTAACACTTTCATAACTCTGTTGCTAAAAGCTTGTTTTTCCATTTACACTAAAGCAATTACTTTAAAATCTTATTTAGACGTTTTTGTACTGAAATGTCACATTTCTGCTATAATTGTGTATCTGACTAAAGTAACATTATAATTTCGCCCCGAAGTTTCCACTCAAGATAATTAAAATAAAACGACAGAAAGGAATGTTTCGGCGTTTCGAAAATTAATCTCTATCTCTTGTCAGATGAATACGTTCATGAGGTTGCTCTAAATTGAATATCTTTTCATAAAATCAAATAATAATAAATTACTCACTGTTGGTGCGGCACTGGAAGTTTCAGTTTTTTGGCAGATAATGAAATAATGAAATACTTGTAGCACTTATTTGATTACAGCTCATTAACGTGGTAAAATTTCGTTGAAGAAGTCGTATTATAAGATGTTTTTATAAATTATAATTATTATTATTATAAGCAGATAACCTCAACCTTAAATACCTGGTAACTGTAGAACAATTTTGTACCAGTCATTTTATGTCAACTTACTTTTTGTCCAGAGCTTGGAAACTAAGAAAACGACAACTACTTGTTTTGAGTTGGTTAAAAAAACATGTATCTGTTGCATTCAGTAGCTATACACGTATTAATAAAGATAACATACGTACGTTTATCACGTCTGTTGTCGAATCCTTGATACGAAGTGAACGTGAAGATTGCGTTTGGTATGTTATTTCCGGGTTTGCGCACGAGATGAGAATTACTTCGTGAAAGGACAGTGTCCATATTTAGAGTGTCTTATGTCTCTATTTATCCTTGGCTATTGCTGTTTTGGCACATCGTCGACATACCGCAGTAAACAAAACATGTAGTTTTTAAAATTGTTTTTGATCGTATTCAAGTGATATATTTGTTTATTTATCGCTTAAAGATTAATTTCTATTGATCGTTTATTTCTTTTGTTACAGACGAAGAAAAACAACCCCAATCACATCAAGAGACCAATGAATGCATTTATGGTTTGGTCACAAATTGAGCGCAGAAAGATCTGCGAGGTTCAACCTGACATGCACAATGCCGAAATCTCCAAAAAGCTCGGTCGCCGTTGGAAGGAATTAAAAGACGATGAGCGTCAACCGTTTATCGAGGAAGCAGAGAGGCTTCGACAACTTCACCAACGCGAATATCCAGATTACAAATACCGTCCTAGGAAAAAGACGTCTAAACCCGCACCCAAAACATCCTCTGCGAGTAAAAAAACGTCTAAAAAATCCTCAAAGCTTCACAAGAACGATAACAATAACAATAGTAGCAACAACAATTCCCTTGTTAAGGAACGACTGTACGCTAGGCGTACAGCATTACCAGAATCGACGGCTTCAAAGTTGAAGGAACGATTAGATTTATCGCCGAGTATGACGCCGCTACCACTGCCACCTGTAAGCATTTTGGCAAAGGTGCCATCTAGTCCTTCTTGCGATATCCCAGATTCTCCAGAGAGCGCGACGATTTACGACGACTCTTTGGCGCCTTTACATCACGAGGCCGAAGACAGGCTCACGCACGGTTCCACTGCCACCCTCGACGATCTGGACAGGATCGACGATTTTAATTTGTTGCAACCGATGGAAATCGATCTCCAAGAATTAGCAGACATCGAGATAATGGACAGCGGGTCGAACGGGTCCGGTTCCCACCTGGACTTCGACTGCCCCAGAGACATCCCCATTTTCTCGAGTCTGGGCGGCTCGCCGTGGAGCGACGGGATGTTTGACTGTTGAAAGAAGAGACTCTAAGACTGTGGTAACTGAAATTCGTGTGTTGGCACAATCATTGTTATCATCTGAAGATGCAGACACACGCGCATCGATCGAACATTCGATGCAGTCCAGTCGAAGCGGTCGCAAGTGTTGCTCCACCAGCTCAATTTGTCGGACCGACCGTGTCGACAATATTTTATATTATTATTGTTATTTAACCCCGATAAATGATCTCATCTTGTGTTTATTATTTTTTGTATTTATCGTAGTAGCGCGTCGCCGTTTCGTTCATGTTAGGTTCATCATCATACGTATTCCCGGATTCAACCAGTTGTTAGTGCCTAGCTCAGTATAATATGTCGGACATTACCCGGGTCGCCCGTCATTAGTTTCGATACATGTAAAATCCTGTTGGTCGCCATTTTGTACATTGTTGGCGACGACGGGACACAAAATCAGGCTGTGATTCATCAATTTGATGACCAATATTTAGTTGTCAAAAGTCAGTGTAGTTTTTACAATTTCTGCCTCCAGCTTTACGATTAGTTCGGGCGCATTTAGCGACGACGGCAAACAGCTGATTGTTTCGTTACTGCCAACCGCGAACGCAATGTTTCTGTCTTTTTTTACTCACCATGTATTTTATTATGTCATCGTTATTCTCACAAAGACGTCTTGTTCGCGGACAGGGCGACTTTGCTTTCATTAAAAAATGTATTCTTTTAATTCGTTCGTCCAGAATTGTACTTAATGGTCCTAAAATCTTGTACAGCTGTAAGGTTAAGTGAGCACTGTGGGTTTGTTAGTGGTAGGAATTGATATTAACAGTAAGATATCCAAATAGGCTATAGGTTTGTTTGTGCTACTGCTGTCAACGACTCGGGCATTCGATTTTACTTTACTGTCCATCCAAATTTAATGTACTTTTTTTTCCTACAAAATTTAATTAAGATTTGCAGATGTCATTGCAAAAGCTGCATATTTTACATATACGCTTACAAAATTTTTGTTCAATGTAATCAAAGTCAATGCACAAACTTTGTAATGAATTAAACGTAGCGTATAAACATTTTTTCAAATTTACAAAAATAGATTAGCGAGCGACATCGATATTCTTCTATAATATGATATTGAGGCACGACCAACGCTCTACGTGTGCTTTCAATGTATAGAATAAACTTTACGATAACATTTAAAGTTAGATCGGACTGTCCGTATAATAAGAGTTTTCGAATTTTAAAATTTTATGAGGCCTGGTACAGTATGAAAATGTAGAGTATAACATATTCGGTGTATTTTTGTACCCAATGTTTGTTCACGCGGTGCAAGCGCAGAGTTGGCGGGGACACGTCGGTGACTGACTTAGATTGTAGGTTTTTATGTTGAGCTGTACTGGTTATGAGCTACGAGTTGATAATAATAAACTTATTTTTGTTTTTCATTAATTACCGTTCTTTGGTTCGACTGTCTTTTGAGAAACGGCTCTGCTCTTGTATTTCGCGACCTGTATATATGACATGTATAGATTTGCTCATGTAAAAAATTGTTTTTGTTGAATCGTACTGTTTATGCAATCATTTTAAATCATTGCAATAACTACCGCTACAAGTCTTGGACGACATCCTGCTGTGAACGTCACTAATTCGGACTATCTCATAAAATGCTGTCAGTCACAGTGTGAGGTCGAACTAGGCAATATTGTAAAAAGTTATTTTGTGCGGCATTGTTGACCCTTTTTGTTCTGGTAAACGATTGAGAGATTACAAATTTAGCAATATTTTTGCATATTACTACCTTGATGTATCATAAAGATCCCTGCATTTTTCTAGACCCATGTATTATATTCATATTACTATATTGAAGTTATTATATAGTGTGTAAATTTTGTATTGTAGTTGCTGTTAAATATATTAATTATATGGCCAATAAAAGATTTTTTCAACTTAATTGTAGCTATTTTATTTCATTACAAGTGAAAGCTGTACAGAGGAAATGATGACGATTTGTGTAAGGTAAGTAATTTATTATCTCCGTTACGGTGTTTCTACCCACCAAGCACCAGCACTTGCCAAAATTAAACTTTATTTGTTACAACAATATTTTGTTGTCTCTAAAACACGCGACAACATTCTACGTTTTACGAAACTGATTTAATTTGTTTGATGGTATTCAGTGATAGTAAAATCATCCCCATGTAATGTTAAAATAATAACGTTGCTGCACGTAGATTATAAACTGTAATCTTAATAGAAGCCTTATATTTTACAGCTTGTTGTTTTAAAGCTACTAAATGCGAGTTCTGCGCCGCTAACTTTGACGATAACTGCCTCCAGTCACCGCGACTTCCTCACTTTATAGTATTCGTAATGACATTCGTGAAAATTGAAATATTTAATGTCCCGAGCTTGAGACACCCTATCTTTAAAAAATTATAAATGTTACAAATGTTTCATGTTGACTTGGGGTAACAAACATCCTTCTATTACGTGCTTGCAGTGGTGAAATGCCTGAGTTCTATACTAGTAGGTCCATAAACTACATATAAAAAAGCCCACTATACAGATATCAATACCAACCAACTTCAATTTGGTGTATCCATTCATATTTGTGTTATATAAAAACGGCATGTGTGTACATTTATTTAAAATGAAACATACTTGTGGGAAATGAGCTCCAATCCGCACCCCTTGATCAGTAATCAATCCAATGTATTACCCACTAAGCCGTCACTTATGGTCCGGAACTGGGGTGAAACAGGACGATCTTGGTATCTGACGTCAAACTTTTGGTGAAATGTATCTTGTTGCCAGTAACGGTGTCAGACAGAGTACAAAAAACTTCGAATTGAAAATTAATAGCGAACATTAATATTTTTCACTTGTTGACCTTTTGACATTGTCTTGTATTGCTATGCCATTATTTTACGACTGGATTGTAAAATATGAATATAGAAAAGTCTAGAGGTAAAGTTATTATTTACATAGTGATAATTTTACTCTAATCCTAAGACGTCACATTTTCGTAGGCAAAGTTTGCCTTTAGTTCAAAGACTGCAGAAAATGACGTCATGTTAAAAATGCCCAAATGTTTTTTATCTACTTTAGGATTACCTACATAGGAAGTCTCAAATAAAAAGCATGTTTGAAATGATTCCTTTATCAACCATTTTAGAAACACGTTATTTAAATTGACAAGATAATGCCAAAAAAAAAACGCGTTTTGTATCAACTTTGTTCTAAGTTCCCTTTTGTAAACTGGTTAGCATAAAATCCTAAATGATTGGAACCGGAAAAATAGATGTTAAAAAGTCACAAATTACATACGAAAAAACTGTTTTTAGATGTTCTACCAATTTTTGAGAACACATTTGACACTTTTTATCTGTAGTTGATTCAGTTTGACAAGTTGACGATAATGACGGTGATTTCACTCTGGTTATTACTGATGGTGAAACATATAAATAACTTCTTTTTTTCTTTCCAACCAGTTTTATTAATTATATACTTAAAATATCGTTGGCGTTTCGATCTTTATGTAGGTTTTCGTCAGAACTATATAATTTTACGTATTATAAAATTATACATTTTGAAAAAGGTTTACAAAAAAGGTCCAAATCTCATCTGCGTCGTATATAATTAATAAAATAGATCAGAGAAAAGTTATTTGTGTATTTAATTGGAGTAGAATTTCTGTGCAATTTTATCATTGACTTCTTGATTATTTTCAGCTATAAACAACCAAAAATTAGGCACTGTGTCTTGCAATGTTATAGCACAAAGTTAAACAACTCAGAAAACAATGTCATTACAGGTTAAGCTTTTTGTGTGTAGTTAATTTAAAATTTTGTCATTTTTACCTGCATTGCAGTACACAAAGTAAAAATTTCGATTAATATTAAACTTAGCTTTTATTATTTATTAGACAAAGTTGTGGCTAGACAGTAGCGATGACGTCATTACAAACTTGACTTTATCAGACTGGTAGCAATAAATTCCAAATTTATTCTTAAAATGTAGATCTTGTTTAGCGTTTCATGATCTAGTAAAGTGTCGTAGCGAATTTTTGTTTTTACGTTCTTTATCGAGTTTATTCCATGCATTAGGACACACTGTATTGCGTTAAATTGTAATCATAATAAATTACCGTGGAATGCAATTATTTTAATCTCTTAAAGAATTGCGAATTTTAACTCGTAAATCAAATAATATTTCTGGTTGAAAATAATACTTGTATTCAGTGATCTTTATCAAAATTATCACCATAATTTGAGCTATAATTGCTTTCTTCCAGATATTCCGTGTAACCAAACGCAATAAATAATTCAAGGTTCATGCATATGTGTTATTCTCTTTAGCATTTCCATACAAATTAATACGTTTTATGCCTATAGTATAACACGCGTATTGTACTTAAGCACGCACTTACACGCTATACCAACACTCCTGAGTAAAATTATTATATAAAAATGCTTGAACGTAATTAAATATTTAGAAGCCATACAAATCAGTCAAAAAGTAGTATGATCAAATTAAAGATCTAATAGTTCATATACATATTTATTATAATGTTTAATGATCTACGGATACAAACTCGTATGTGCATGTATGTACATGTTAACGTAAAACAAACACTACGACTATATACAGAAGTGCTACGTGGCAACACCTTATCCTTACCGAATTAATATTTCCAAGGCAATAAAAAAAATTAATAAAACTCTTCTTGAAACCGTTAAAAATTTGTCGTTTAAGAATATAAATAGAGATTCCGTGATGAAACAGTAATAGGAACCAAACACGAATAAGACCAAATAGAGGAAATAAAAAGAGTAATTATTGGTGGCATGCGATAAAATGTTCAAGTTTCCATGATCTTGCACGCACTGAGATGCTTTATTGGTCGATGGTGAAAGATACATTATCGGAATTGTTTTGAACTCGTTTCCCACGAGTCGACCTCTACAAAAATCATGCCCAATATCGGAAAACACGGGAAACGTGGTGGTAATCCATATACAAAACCATTATCTAACAAGTTATGAGGTCAACAACCAGATGGTCGATGTTGGTAAATCGTTCTTCGTGGATATTGCAGATTGTATCTCAAATCTCAAATTGTTGTATCAGACTGCTTGCTCTAACGGGAACTGGTAGTTATCGCCTTTAGAAGACGATATGGGAATTATGGACAATTTTGAAGAGATAAATATTAAATAATAAAATTAATAATTTTGGAAAAATAAAAATCACTCATTGGTTTAAGCGCTTAGCAACGTATGCATTAAAAGTAAAATGGGTGTACACATATTTTTGACCAATTTGGGTTTCACCTACGTAAAAGAATAATGCGGTAGCTTATTGCTAATAAATTATTGTCTGCAACAGAAGGTTACTAAAACCAGTGTTTCCTCATTACAAGTGATTATATACTAAAATTATACTAGCTACCGCAAAGAGGTTAAACAAGGAAGTTACTAATAGATTTTCAAAGGTAAGTGGCTACTTATACAGCAAAAGTGCATGGCAATTAAGTAATAAAAAATAAAAATGAATCACAATACAAGCTAAGATGATGGTATCAGCAACTAATTTTAACCACTACTAACGGAGTAATAGTATTACTAGACTAAAATTGTTTCAGGTAGTCCTGATTCAGAGGATTTTCTAAATGACACCAAATTTCGTGACCTGAATTCCATTTTTTTCGTAACACAGTCCTAGGCAAGAAATCTGTAATTCGAAATCAAAACACATGCCAAGTTAACACTAACTGGCTTTTTGTTCTCACAATAGTAAAATTGACAGTATACTCAAAAATGCAATAATAATAATAAAGTGGCATTCACTTTGAAAAAGTTATTTTTTTGTAAGAAGTGTGAGTTACTTACACTTCATCAAAAAAAAATTAAACATCACTATTCCATTAATTTTAAATACAGTTAATTTTTTCAAGGTATAAAGCCTCTCAATGTCTCAATAGATAGGTAATTAAATTAATATTAGATAGTTCCTATAATTTCCATTCGTCTTATCATCTGACCACTAGCGTAGCCATTTCATTAAACCTTGTTATATAAATATTTGAAGAGATACGAATGAAACTGTGAACTCCTATTTCTGGCATTTTTTGGAACTGCAAAAAATATATTGTCTACAAAAAATATATGTATTTTAAAGTCGAAAAACACCTAGGGGAAAGCATTTTACTGTACAACATAACTTTCGAGACCTTAAAAAGAAAAAGCTTTACCATAAAAAACTTTTACTTTTAACAGTAGTTTAGACCGGAATCTGCACAGCGTAACGTAAAAAAAGAAAAAGACACTAACATTGATTTAGGAATTGCAAAGGATTAAATAAAATTGATTCATTTCTGCTTCATAAGCTAAGGAAATATTGTGAGGGCCCGTAGAATGGCTACTATCATCTACAGACAGTAGATAGAAGCTACTAAACCGATTAAACGCTAACTAAATTATGTCTCATCATTCCCAGACCATGATGACGTCAAATTGAAATTTTGCGAAGTAAATGGTATTTTGATTTTATAAAATAACATATTCCTACACTTGTGGTTTATGAACCGTCTTGAGTTTTTACCCTAGACATCCAGATTTTTTGTGAAATAATTATGTCTTGGGACGTGGAATACCTAAGGTTCGATAAAATGTCTTTATTTTTATAATTATTTACTTACACCGAATGTCTCAGCATTTAATTATAAACCAATTTATTTCATCGCTTGTCTCCGAAACGTCGCTTCTTCTTCTCCTTAAATTTGGGGAATAAATTTACTATATGATCAGCGTAGTATTGAACTATAAAGTATGTTAAAGTTATACCACTTCATATAATACAATACTCTTCACCAAAAATTTGATAATTTTAATTCAAAATTAATATAATCACAACTATAAGCTCTACCGCGACTTGTACATTTTTTTTTTA